ATATATATAGGAAGGCATAAGATCTTCCTGGCATATCCCATCGTCACCTACCACCCATAACATAATTATCGTCCATATAATTAATATAATATTATATATACTACATTTTAGTATTAGAATAAGAATTTAAAATGTTGTTTGTTTTGTGTAGATTGAATTGTTATTTTAATTAATAATAATATGATTAATATAAATAAAAGAGATGTTTCATGTTTTTGCCCTCAAAATATAAAATAAAACATTCCTTTGAATTAACAAAATTTAAGAACCTACTATTTAAAAATCTGTTTGTAGTAATCATAAAGCTATATGTCTGGATTTTGCTTTAAAAGCTTTGATGTTGATGGTGAAAATGCTTTTGGATTGAAATTTCAACAGATAATATCTTAAGAAAATTTTAAGATACACGAATACAAAGCAAAGTAACAAGTATTATAACTAAATATATTGACGAAAATTCTTTACTAACTCTCCATTACAAACTGAATTATTTAAATATTTTTACTAGCGATCCTTCTCAGCTTCGAACGGATGATTTCTGTATCTCCAAAATATATGCATATAATATACATATAAATCTTCTTCCTGAATGGTTCTGTCTATTGACGAAAACCGCATCAAAATCCGTTGCGTAGTTTAAAAGATCTAAGCATGCAGACGGCGGGAAGCGACTTTGTTTTATACTATATATTATGTAGATTGTTGGATCCGTGGATTGATTTATTAGTTTGTAATCTAATTAATATAAAACATTACTAATATTACAGAAAGAAAAAATAACCCTTACATTTTCCGAACAAAGTAACTTCTCCACTATAAAATCACCTCACTCCAAAGGGCCGCCGCCCTGGAGGTAGAAGAAGTCGTGGATGCCCTCATTGATTACTAAGATCCTATTTAGAATACGTTATGTCTAGGACTTTAGACTTTTATAACTTTGGATTTAGTTTTTGAATGCAACGATAACGTACGCAACCTGTAGGATCAAAGATCAATTGACTATTTCTTAGAAATGTATTGAGATCCATAAGAAATGGATACACCTATTGAAATATTTTATAAATGTAGTCCTACTGGACTCAGGCGATCTACTTAACACATTGGTTCGATTTTAATTTAAGAGAAGGTTTCGAAGACATCTTAATTTTTACCTTGCCTTGCTACTTCTTTAATTATTGTAGGTACAGATAGATAACAATGCAATTGATATTCTACCGCTGCGCCGTTGATAACTAAGATTCTTATTCAGAGTACGTTTACGTCTAAGTGTTATAAAGGACTTGTATGACGTAGGATTTATTTTTTGAATGTAACATATCACGTATACAGTCTTTGACGTAGAGCAACACGGGTCACCGGCGTACCGGAGTAGTATATTTTTATAATTAGCAGTTTGTCGCTGCAAAAACATCAATTCAATGAATTTTACAAAAATATGGCGTAAGTAATTTTTAGACATATTATTGCTATTCACATCCTTTTAATCGCAAAATATACAATATCTAATGACGGTCGTGTTGTTCCTGATTTGTTTAGCAAAGTAGACCCCTCGACCTCTTACGATATGCGGATTTGGGAGACATGCTATCCTAAAAATGTTTTTTTTCGCCTTATACGTGATATACTGATAAATTACCATTTTTGCTCAATTAATAATTTAATTGGTGCTGGCGGATTAAAACACGTTTATTCCCAGGGTAGGTAGGAATTTTTGCTTATGCTCTTTCTGAACCTTAACCCCAATCAAATCAAATATGGTGATAACGTTGAAATGATTCGTTATTAACAACTTAAATATTATATCCATAAAGAATATCATTAGTTTTTTTTTCACATGTATTATCAAACTTGAATAGTTCATATATGACTAACCAGAATGTAACCAGTGACCCCTTGATATCGGAATCCGAATCCTCATGTCGGACCTTCCGAATGTTAAGAATTTGCGATCACAAGCTTCAAGCGTGCATATTTTTACAATAGCAAACAGTCGTTTGCTCCATTTAGCATTAAAAAAGTAGGTCATTTTTTTATTTAACTGACTTTACAGCTCTGGGTTCTCTTCGTCTTTTTATATATTTATTCTTAACAATATACTGATGCGTCACATTGCGAAGTTTTCGGGAGATTTTGACGACAGCTTAACCCAGACAGACAGTTGGTGACGACAGTCACTCGAGTTCATAAGGCGCTCAAACGGTCAAAACTTAAGGTTTATATCAGCATCAAAGCACTTGTTTCATCGTTTTCTCTAATGGTTCACACGCGCAGACACTTAATTCACAAAATCGCATCACTTTTACGAATCAAAATCCACTTTAAACTATTGTTCAAGTGATAAAACAGGAGCGACAATCCGTCGACGGCCAAGTTCCCGCCAAAACCTCAAAAAGTTTGGGCTCGTCTTAAACTAGGTCAAGTAAATCAAAACAACACAGAGAACATAAAAAATATACTAATTATTAAACTCGATTGGCGCGATTCCTTTCTAGCTTAGGAATCCTTATGGACTCAACGTCTTTTTTCCATCACCATGTAGCAGTCCCTCCACAGTTTGCACTGCTGCGTTCCAGTATTAAAGGAGAGCATAGATCAAAGAAAGTCAGTATAAGCCCCATCCTTCACCTCTTCCATCTCATCTTAGACCTCGGAAGTGTACACAGAACGATTCCCCTGGTGCTGCAGTTGTTCATGGGCGGCGGTCGACATTTACATTTAGGTGAGCCGTATGCTCGTTTGTCCCCTATTCTATAAAAAAATTGCATATCTAGTGTTCTTTCTTTGAAGTTAACTGCAGGCATTAATTGGCTGCAGTGTCCACTTACTTCTAAAATATTAAAAAAAATATATAGTTAATATATTTTTTCTAATTTATAATATTTAATTTATATTAAGTATCAAAATGGTATTGAATGTACACAAAATAGTATTGGTATTGGGCCCTGCCAGTAAAAAAAGCCTACATATTCCGCAACTACTATATTAAAGCATAACATTACAACTAACATTAACAGTAAATAAAAGAATAAGAACTATAGTCCGTGCCAAATCGATTACGAAAAACGGACAATGACTTCAGATATGAACCGAGTGTCAAAAGGCGTAACTTACAAAATCTCAATTTAGATGTGTTCCGCCCATCAACGATACACCCACCAACAAAACACCGCCCGAAATTAAAAGAATGTTTTGGGAAAAAAAAGGAAGGGGGAAAATTTTTTTTTTTTTTATTAAAAAAAGTATTTTTATAATTTTTTTGGCTCATTAACCCCCCCTAACAATATTTAAATATTGATATTATTGACACTTCTAGGTCAGCTTCTGTTTTGTTTTTTTGTTTCTTAAATAATATTGTCTTAGGTACCTATAAACATCGTAAAACCTTACGGTACATCGCGAAAAATGTGCTAAATTTTAGATTTCAATTTATGGTAAGTAACGCAGCTATTCATTTAATAACAGTTTCATGTAAAAAAAAAACTATTTGAAGCAGTATAATCACCATATTGAGCTTTTGCAAATTCATCCCTATAAAATAAACAAAACGTGCTTTACGTCAGTTCGTTCTAAAAGAAATGTGACAATGGCAGCCAGAGATGCATCACTTTTTTTGGACCGGTTCGCATGCACCGAATAAAAATAAAGATCTACATACATATACACATAAACACTCACGCCTGTCACCCAGAGGGGTAGGCAGAGGCTACAGACTTCCATTTAGCACGATCCTGACATACCTACTTCGCCTCTTCCACATCCATACACCTACGCATACATGCTCGTCGGTTAAGGTTTACTCTTAATTTGGCCCATTTTTAATATATCGCAAATTTGGTCGACAAACTTTCACCTAGGACGTCCCTTTCCGACTCTGCCGTTCACTTCTGAAACATAAATTTGCTTTGTCACTCGTTTGTTTTTCAATCGATTTGGCACGTACTATAGAAGAAAATTTAAAAGTTTTCACCTATAGACAATATGTTATGGTTAAAATTATATGCGTAGGAAACTAGGAAGCTATTTTAATACCTTTATCAAAATGAATGACGTTCATAATTTTTCACGCACAATAAATCTATAGGTACTTGATGTTCCAAAATACAGGTTCCATAAAACTAGTGGCTTATTTTTGGTAATACTTCATGCATATCTATTTATAACAAGACTTCCTATAATATTACTGATTTGCCTTTGCATTAATTCAAAGCGCATAAAATGCATTTTTATGAAGAAAAGATATTATTGTATAACATATATATAAGATGATTATTTAAAAGATAACAATGCGTGAACTTAACGAGCGTTCTCCGACTTTTTTAACTTGTGAATTTTACAAGGTCGGTAACTGTTGGGGAAAAAATAATTTACTTGTGAATTTCTTGGCACTTTTACTCACGACGCGACGTCTTCCGCAGTTAAGACTTATTTAAGCAATGGCGTGGGTTTCTTGACTTTCAAGAATGTTTTTTTTTTAAATGTGAATTTAGCTTTGACTATTTCCATTCGAAAATGGCGTAACCAAACAACACAAATTCAATCAGAATTCTTGGATTATAGAGTTTACATAGATTTCAATACAGACATAACTCAGCTTACAATATTTGTGGACCCAGTCAAGTAGTTAGTCAAGTAATTGTGTGAATATAATTTAATAAATACATAAATAGGTAACTAAAATTTATTACCGCCATTTGACTACAGCATGTTAAATTAAGCTGGAGTTAATGGGATTATTGGTATTGTTAATATCATTAATATTACAATTATTTAACTATATTTTTACCTTTTTTTACACGAATAATGAATATTAAAATTATTCCGAGTGTTTTCAACATCTAAAAATGTATTTTTGCAGGTTAACCAACCACCTTTACAAATGACTCACTGATACAAAAAGTATAATCAGTGGTGCAGCCTGAGCCGGAAACAACATGCGTGCCCGACTTCCTTTTCGTTGGTTTGCGAGATTCCAAGATGGCGGCCTCACAAACCAATTCCTGATGGCGCTCATGGGTGAGTCGTGGTTCACATTATAAACAAATCTCTTTTGAATGGGGTTGTACTAATATTCGATTTTTTTCTGTCGATATAATCAGAGATCACATTAGCTAGCGGTTTGGTTTATTTATAAGTTAAAAAAATATAAAACTATGCTACATAATTTGAATAATGGTGTCCTATTCTGATAAAGATATCTGCGTATTCCTCGTTGGAAAATGATTGCCTTGCATGATCTCCGCGTCTTGGTGGTTCCGCCGCCATAAAACTTTGAAACTCAACTTCTTTAAGTGTAACAGGGAGGGATATGCGCGCGTGTGTACGATGCCTGTAATACTGATGACTGATTGAACAGTTTCTTCTTGTTTAACTTGTTTCTAATTTCACACTAAATGTAAACAATAGCGTAATGTTACGAGCTTGAGGTTCGTGACAATAAAAATTGCCGATAAAATTACCTAAATTAACACTTTAATTTACTTTACACAAATTAAAACTAAAAACACTAATAATTAAACACACTAATTCACTTAATTCCGCTCCGAAGCTACGCTTGTGTCGCCGAGTTCAACTCTGCTCCGATCGCATCTTGCAGCGCCTATTTATATAATTAGCAAAGAAGCGTCCCGAACATTCAAGTAAATGCGCGCCAGGCAACGAGTATTCGAGTGTAGATTTTCCAGAAACTTAGTTCTTCGGGTGGCGCTGTCGGTCGAAAGATTTGTGATGTCATTTTCTGCGACGCTCCCCTCGCTCTCGTTCCTGACACTAGATGGCGCTAGTGTGCCGATTTTAGCGCGTAACACTGCCCCCTCCTAAGACATGCTCGTCCCGAGCATTATCGGTCCCATAATAACGCGCTAGGCGATCCACATGGACGATCTTAGGAGTCCCTCTTGCGCCTTTCTGTAATGGCTCCGCAATGTCAAGGGATGTCCTATCCCGTGGTGCACCAACATTGTACAATTTCGATGCTCCTCTACTCCATGTCTGAGGTCCCCTCACAGCCGCACAACTTGTACATGTACGACACCAATCCTCGACATCGTCACGATAATGGACCCAGTAAAACTGTTCTCGGACCTTCAGTAGAGTTCGTTTAACTCCCAGATGGACTCTTGAACGACCATTATGGCACAGTTGTAGAACATTCGGCACTTTAGCTTTGGGGACGACCATTTGCAGACGACAGCTGTCTCCTCGACCATTGTCCCATTTACGGCACAGGACTCCATCCTGAAGCAGCAAGCTGTCCCATTGGGCCCAATAGCTTTTCGTGGTTGAACTCATCGCTGAGACGGCCTTCCACTTAGGCTTGGTAGCACGGGCCTTCATCCATCCCAGAATCGGCTTGATGTCCGGATCTTCCTGCTGTGCATGTCGTAGGCTGTCCTTCCACCCGTTGCTGAGGTGGTCTGTTCTGAGCATCCTCACGGATACCACTTCCTTACCTTGCCTACTACAATGATTGCCATCTTCAGGACAAGGTCTTCTTGACAATGCATCTGTGTTGCCGTGAGATTTCCCGCTGCAGTGTCTGATAGTAAAGTCGTATTCCTGCTGCTGCTGGGCGGTGCTGTTAGCCGCACTTCCTTTCTGAGACCGTTCACCTTCCCTTCCTAGGGTGTGCTTCGGGCAGCTGGACCGAAGATGGCCACTTTCCCCACAGCCATAGCACCTAGGGCTGTATCTTCTATTGTGGTCGCGAACCGTAACTGCTGCAACCTCCCTAGCGTGAGGTGAACGACGATCCTGTCGCCGCCAGGCAGTGCCGTTAGCTGCACTACCCTCCTGATATCGTTCACTTTCCCTTTTTAGGGTTCGCTTAGGGCAGCTGGATCGAAGATGGCCCTTTTCCCCACAGCCATAGCACCTAGGGCTGTATCCTCTGTTGCGGTCGCGAACTGTAACTGCTGCAACCTCCCTGACGCGATGGGAACGATGATCCTGCCGCACGGCTTCTACCTCCAGTGCATGGGCCAAGGCGTCCTTAAGCGTCTCGTGGTGCCCGAGCCTCACAGCAGCTCTGACTTCCAGGTCGCGGATGCCGTCGATGAATGTCTGCACCAGGTTCCCTTCAATGAGCGCAGGTACAGACCGGTATGCTTTTCGCACCAGCTTCTCCACTTCTAGAGCCCACTGCTGCAGGTTTTCGTTGATGCGCTGCACACGATCTTTAAGCTGCGCACGAAAGACGTGTTCCAGGTGAGCGTCGCCATATCTCGCCTCCAATGCCTCAAGGAGTTGCTCATAAGTCACTTCCTCACCGAGAGCTTCCAGAACTGTTAAGGCCTGGTCGCGCAGGCCTAGTGTGAGAGCAGTCATGGCCTGACTTTTATTCCAGCCGTTCGCCTTCATAACAGCCTCGAACTGGATTTTGTAGGCTGACCAGGAAGAAGTCCCGTCGAATGGTGGCACCTTGAACCCACGTAGCGAAGGTGTAGTAGCTACTACGGGAGCTGTAGTTCCCTCCCCAAGTTTGAGTTCGTCAAGTGATTTCCTCATGTCAGCCATTACGTTGTCAACCCGATTGTTCACTTGGTCAATTCGGGTTTCATGTTCTTCGATTCGTGTTTCAGCTTCCGACAGGCGGTTGTCATGTTGAGCAACCCTATCCTTCACCTCCCTTATCTCTTTCCCAAAGGTAGCGTGAAGGTCCTTCATGAGGAGCATCTGCTCTTTCGACCGACGAGCCTGTTCCGCCTGCTGATCTTCCAACCAACGGGCCTGTTCCTCCTGTCGGCGGAGCTGTTCCTCTTGTCCGCTCTGCAGCTGCTCTTTTAACTGACGGACCTGTTCCTCCTGTCGTCGAGCCTGCTCTGCCTGTCCGCCCCGCAGCTGCTCGTCCAACCGACGGACCTGTTCCTCCTGTCGGCGAGTCTGTTCCTGCAGCATCACCATCAGGGCGCCTAAATCAGGTGCTGCAGATGCAGGAGCTACTGACGAACCGGCCTCCGTTGCCGGCGGCTGGCCCTCCGACGTCTGCGGCGTTGCACCACCAAATCTTCTCTGGTCCGTCTCATGCTGGCGTTGACTGCGGGTACGAACACCCTCCGTTTCCTCCTTAGGTAAAATCGGCATGATTTTATCCCACTTCTGACACCAATTGTTACGAGCTTGAGGTTCGTGACAATAAAAATTGCCGATAAAATTACCTAAATTAACACTTTAATTTACTTTACACAAATTAAAACTAAAAACACTAATAATTAAACACACTAATTCACTTAATTCCGCTCCGAAGCTTCGCTTGTGTCGCCGAGTTCAACTCTGCTCCGATCGCATCTTGCAGCGCCTATTTATATAATTAGCAAAGAAGCGTCCCGAACATTCAAGTAAATGCGCGCCAGGCAACGAGTATTCGAGTGTAGATTTTCCAGAAACTTAGTTCTTCGGGTGGCGCTGTCGGTCGAAAGATTTGTGATGTCATTTTCTGCGACGCTCCCCTCGCTCTCGTTCCTGACACTAGATGGCGCTAGTGTGCCGATTTTAGCGCGTAACAGTAAGTTCAAACGCACAATCTTTTACGAGCATTCCCGCAGCTGTTGATAAGGTTCCGAGAAGCGATTGTTTGGGATTACCCAAAACATTGCTACTCGGAACTTGTCTACCTGGCCCCTTTTTTTCAAGTTTTTTCTGTACTATTTAAGTTACAAGCTAAATTGATACTTCATTGGGTAGCTAGATAAGTAGGGATGTTTTAACATGATTTGCACAATTGGTCACATATAATTATTTTTCACAAAATCATTTTTATTTTTAATTACTTAAGTATCTTCTGTTTGAAAAAAGTTGTACTTTTAGTAGCGTTACTTCAAAAATGATGAGACTTTTTGCACACTGTAGTATTGATAAATAAGTATCCAGGTTTTCATTAAGTAAAAATAATAAAATGAAAATAATACAGCTGTAAGTTTTTTTTTAGAAATTTTTGACACCAGACTTTTGGGATTTTTGAAAAAAAATAATTAAACCTAAATATCTCGAAATTGGTCCACATTTGCATAATGCATTTTATAGTTCATTTGATAGGTTATGACCCCAAATATCACGCCTTGGCGGGAATACGTCGAGTTACCAGTAACCCTGTATATATATACTATATGCACTATGCATGGAAATGTATGATTTTAGAATGATAAGAACTTTACTTTACTTTTACTTTAGCTTTTTTGTGCCTATAGTCTGCTTTTTAAATTTTTTTCTGTATATACACTGTTAAGGAAGGCCTGCGGAAATAAACGCTTTAATAAAACTAAAAACTCATTTTAGACAAAACATGTAAGGGAAAAAACATGAGTGATATCCGATTTTTGATGGATTTCGTTCGCTTAGATTTACAGATATTTAATTTTAATACCTAAGTATCTATATAATACTGTGAAACGAGTGCCTAGGTATAGCTTGAACGGAGAGTCAAAGTAGATATATTTTACTCAAATGTATTATCTCATAATCAGTACATCATATCATAGATATTATACGACAATATCGATGTTAGATGTTTTACGAAGTGACACTGTACTGCAGCATTAACTGATATATAGTTTTTCTGACGCCAGATATGAAGATACCGGATGTTGTACCTATTTATAGATATTGTGTCTATAGTTTACGATTTGTATCTCCCACTATTAAAATTTTAAAACACAAAATTTTTATATTGTGTCATCAAATAAGACTTGATGTTTGTTGTTGCTTGATAGTTACTTCTTTTTTAACTTATTTCTATTTTTAATACATAGATAAATTTATATAAAAAATTATCTTCAACAAAATTACCGCTGGAAATAACCTCGACGCAGAAGAGAAGACGAAGAGAACTGTTAACTATTTTACTAAACAAATATTCCGTTCGTATTTCGTACATCATTAACTGCATGCTAATAAGAGGTATTTGATTATTCATTCCGCGCCGTGTATAAAGCCACCTTGTCTACTCGGTTGACTACAAATTAAAAAATACGACACAAAAACACACGAATAAAATATATCTACGTCTTTAAATCTCGGGA